TCCTTCTCTCTCTTTATCAATGTCACTGTCACTCTCTGTTTCCCTCTGTCTGCCTGTCTCTCTGTCTCTGTGGAATACTTCTTGACAAGTTTTGTCTGATTCTTGTCACCTTTACAAGTAGGTGAGTGTGAAGGGAAAAGAAATGTATGAAAACAATAAATCTTCATTGGATTTCTAGTTTCTTAAAATGCTCACCCACTCATATTTTTGACTGACTGTATAACTACTAAGTGTCAGCATTAAACAATTCTGAAGAATTTCTTTTCATCTGTCATATTGCATTTTTTAATGACAAACAGAAAAAGAGACAAACAATTTTCTAATAAAGGTACATAAGTTCAGTTTTATTTAAACTTTGTGCCTTGATTTTATTTGTATGGTGATAAATAAGCAAATAACAGGAAAATATATTTATTTTGGGGATAATTCTATCATTTATCTAAACAAGCTCTTCTAGACATATTGTTAAATTGTTAAAAATGTCTTATTCAAGTCATGGAAAAATGAATAATAAAATGTAATATAAAAACTGTTTATTAAATGTGCTCCTTCTTTTTCACTACCTACCATTTGTATAAAAAACCTTATTTTTCAAGGAAATTATGAAACTGACTGCTAAACACTTCACAATAAATTTGAAATTTATTTTAAAAATTCCAACATGTTTGAGTAAAATATTGTTACATTTTATGAGGTTTAGCATTTATCTAGAATTTTACTAATAAAACTTCTTATAACCAAGAAATTCATAAAAAATGCAATTCCCTTTTCATATAGAATAAACAAAATATAATTATTCCAAATTGGTTAAGTTCTCATTCACTGAATTTACAATTACAGCAGCTTTAACAGAACTTCTATAATCTCATTTGCAGTCAAATGACTGATAAACATTTTATACTTTTATGTGCACTTTTCCAACTGAGACATATCATCACAACTGATTGTCATCTTCCATTCATATGTCTTCCCAATGTTAACTCAATGTCTCATTTTTTTTTATGTTTAAATGGAATACCCCCCTCTCTCATTTTGACTTTCTTCAGACTTTTGTCCAATCCCACATTTTCAGGAAATTGTCACTTTTTAATAGTTAGATTCTGAATCTGAGATAATTATGCATAAGACAAATGGTGCTTCTAGTAGTTCATTAAGAGCTAAAGGTTCTTTCACGTTGAATTATTGCTTTCAGAACAGGTTTTTAAGTTTCAGAAAGAACTTAAATCTGCAAACTAAATGAAATGTAAATATATAAAATAATTTAAAATGTTTGTTCATTTTGCTCTATTCACTAAAACTCTTGTATTTCATTATTTAAGATTTAATGTAAATGTGTTTTTGTGCAAAGTTTTTCATAAAATTTGTCACACATTTATTGAATTTAAATATTTCCAGTGATTATATAGTTCAGTTCACTTCTTATGTTTAAATACAAAAATAAAAGATTGAATTCTAGTTGTGCATTAAATGCTTCCTTCACTTGATACTGATATTTTGAATAGATTTTCAATTTGTTCAGTTGGAGAAAGAAATTTACAACAGGTGATACCATTTTAAGATAAACTAATTTGAAATATAGCAAATAGTATTCCCTATTTGTGGCTAGTTTCACAGAAATAATATTTCTGAGTTTGTTACAGTAAAATAAGGACTTAAATATTGGCTACCCAACAGATATTCAAACTAAAATGTGAGTTAAGGGAAGCAACCGTACAAAGTGTAAGTAAAAAACTTCAGAATTACTTCATTTTGTTATGATTAGACATATACAATGGTAAATCATCATCATTACAGTGTGCAGTGTGTATAGATCCTCATAAATCTCCAATCTTTATGATTATCCATCATATCTGGTAGATCCTCAAGTTGGCATTTTGCATCTTCACATATTTGCTGGATATATATTTTAAATGGATGACCAGTGCAGGGGTATCCAAGTTTTTGTGCCTACATCTTGCTCTTCTCTCCTGAATGACTTGAGAAATGACAAAAGATAAAATAAACAAATGCTGTGGACAAAAATAAGCTTCTTAGCTACAAATTGGTAACTAAATCAGAAAATTATAAGAAAAGTTTAAATTCTCTTCAATTTACTGAAAGCATTAAATATGTGTTTCACTAAAAATGATTTAACATTTAAAACAGAGCAAGCATTCTCTATCCTTTTGGTGCCTGCTTCAAGATGTAAGTGATCATGGTTATCCATAGCTTCCAGCCTTTTGTTGTTCTCAGCAATACTATGTCCTTAATGACACTTCTGTCTCTTTGTGATACTTGTTCTTCTATCAATGTATACTGCTTTCTATTGCTTATTTTGTCTTCATGTACCTTATGAGTACTAAATTCCCCAAGCCTTCTTTCTTCATTTGGTGTCCCAAGAATTTCAGCTGCCTCTTTCTTAACAGTTTCTTTGTAGTTCCTACAGAAGAACTACATTTCACTTACTTCAATTCTTTTTTCATTCATGGCAAATATTTTCTTTCAATGTTCTTTTCATTGTAACTTTTTTTTAAATGGTTATGTACAAGGTTTTGAAAATCAGAGATTTTGCTAGCTTTAATCTTTCTTTCTATCCAACGAAAAATAAACCACAAACAGTTTTGTGTTTGGTGATTTTAATGCGCATTACATCGAGTGGTTTAAGCATTCTAATGTTACTGATGTTACTAGTATTCAGGCTTTCAATTTTTCTGTTGTTCAACCTCTCAGTCAAATATTGAATTCCCCTACTCATTTCCCTAATAAATCTGATCAACATTCTTATTTGATTTGTTCCTTACTTCCTCTCTTAACTCTGGTAGAGCATCACAACTCTCTCCTCTTGACAATCTGGATCATGCTGTAATATCTATTGATATTTCTTTTGAGTCATCTATTAGAAAGAAACCTCCTATTCACAAGACTTCTTTGTGTTACCAGCATACATTCATTTTTTGACATTATTTGAGATGCCCCTTGGATTGATATTCTTAACCTTCCAATTGAGAACTGTGCTGTAGAGGTTTCTGCTTGGTCAGTATTGATGCTTTTGCACTTTCTCATAAATACCAGATGAAACCACAATCTTCTCCTTGGTTCACTCAGGCCTATTCAGCTGCTATAGCCCACAGGAATCCCTTTTTCCAAGTATACCAGCATTATAATTCTGATCACAACAGACGCCTATTAGTACCTGCTCAAAATAATTGTAAACATGTCCTCAAAGAGGCAAAGATTATGTTTGCTGATAGAATGAGGCACTGTATAGTCTCTAACAAGTTTGGTTCATATGTCTACTGGTGGCTTTGTAATAGTGTGTTAAATAAGTGTAAGTTTTCTATTCTTCCTCTTCTCTTCATTCAATTTGAGCTGTTAAACATCATCTGCTGATGAAGCAGAATGTTTTTCTTGTACATTAATTCTACTCTTGACTGATCTGGAGTATCTTTACCTGACTTTCCACTTAGAACTGAATTTCTGTTGAGTGACATGCATATAATTCCATCCACACATGGTTTCAGCTATCATTTCTAAACTGGATTCTCAAAAAACATGCAGACTTAATGGTATTCTTGCAATAGTCTTTAAGAAATGTTCTCTGGAAATTATTCCTGTTCTTTCTAAACTCTACAATAATTGCCTTGCTGCTTGACGCTGTCCTGCTTGCTGGAAATCCTCCTCTGTAGTTCCAGTCTCTAAGAATTCAGGTTAATTTTCTGACCCTTTAAACTATTGGCCTGTTAGCCTTCTATCTCTTTAAGGAAAACTACTAGAGGCCATAATCAACTCTGAATTGGTTAAGCATCTTACATTGCAGAGCCTTCTTTTAGACAAGCAATATGGCTTTCACTTATCTAGATCAACTGCTGATGTACTAATGATTATTTCTGAAAGAGTCTATCACACTTTATACAGGACTATTGAAGCTAGGTCTATTGCTTTGGACATCTTGAAAGCATTTGACAGGGTTTGGCATACTTCTTTACAAGTTGAAAAGCTATGGTATTTCTGGACAAATTTTTGAACTGATTCAAATCATGAAATGGAAGTTGTCCTGAATGACCAATCTTCTAGATGTTTTTGTACTAATGCAGGTATACTCCAGGGCTCTATTCTTGAACCTACTTAATTTTTTTAATTTGACCTTTCTGATGACATCAGTTCTCAACTTGATATCTATGCTGATGACACAACCATTTACTTCTGTCTCAATAGTAATGCTGATCAGTTCAATAAGCTCAAATTGGCTGCTGACCTAAAAATGACCTACAGTATGTGGTTAACTGTGGCAAGGAATGGCTTGTTAGTTTTAACACCTCCAAAATGAATAAAACTTCTCTTTATTAATCACCAGAAAGACCCATTTCTACCTCTCATCAACATGGCTGATACTAATCTCCTGTGCTCCTGCTATATATTTAGAGATTCCAAAGAAGAATCAGCAATATTATTGGTCCTGACATGACATCTTGGTTTCAGTTACTTCCCCACCACTGTAATGTAGCTCATCTATGCCTTTTCTATAAACACTTTCATGGTAATGGTTCTGGTGAACTTTCCTCTATTAGTACCTAGACTTTATGAATTTAATTGCAGTACTAGATTGGTGGCATGGTCTCATCAATTTAATTTTGAAATTGCTAGATGTAAACATGAGCTCTGTGATAACAGTTTCTTCTATTGCACCTCTCACTTGTGGAAATCTCTTCCAGCTTCTTGCTTCCCAGTGAACATTGATCATCAAATATTTAAATGCAATATCAAACATTATCTTCTGTCTTCTTAATTCTTGTTCTTTTAGTGTCCTCTCCCCTTAATAGTATAATTTTCTCATATTTTCTAACACTCAGCTAATCCATTTCTCAAACTTTTTGCATTCATATTCTCTTGGATTTGTAATTATGTTTCCAATTATTATTAATGTATTTTTACTAATTATTTTCATTCAGGTGGCTCATCAACAAAAGGAGTTTGAAAATTTATATAAATATACATCTGAATTGGAGCTATCAAATCTTCAGACCATGGAGCAATTATTTGAATACAATGCTAATGATCTAAAAATTGTCAGGTAAATATTACATATATATTTTACTGATGTTACATATGTATATACTAGCTTAAAAACCACCCTATCGGGTGGCATTTAAACTACCTTCTGTGGAGCGCACTTGATCGGGTCTTTGGCCTGACAATGATACTACATGCATTGAGTACATATTAACTTTTATTAAACTTGAACAATATTTTTCAAACAATTAGCTGTTTTCATCAAAACAATGATAAAATTTGCCTCTTTGGAACTTATTGCAAAGCTGCATGATAAGCAACATTTTTAGTTTTCCCATTCAGGGTCAATACTAATAGCTTGTTTCCATTCCCAATCCTTGAACAACCAACATAAAGCTGGCCATGAGAAAATCAGGGTTTCCATCAGATGAAGTCCAGTTACTTTCAATGATTGTCCTTGGGACTTATTGAGCGACTCTGCATAGCTCACTCTTACTGGAAACTGAAGTCTTTTGAACTTTGGAGGAGTTTAGGGGGTTCTTGGAATTAAAACTCTTTCCTCCTTTCCTGGATCATTAAGGATCTCTGCTTTCAAGAGATGAGGAAGCATCTTCTTGACAATTAACCTTGTTCCATTACAAAGCTTTGGAGGATCCAGATTTCTCAATAGCATAACTGGCACATTTACTTTTACATCCAGCTTGTATGATGGCATTCCAAGAGGATTCTATGATTTCAGGAACTTTAATGGATAATTCACTGCCTGCTCTTGTTAAACTATAGTATCAATGGAAAAGTACTTCATGCTTTCTTTTGGAATTTCTTGGAGAAGTTTCCAGTTAATGCTATCCACAGATTGATTTTTGGGAGCTAATATGACCCTGTCATGAAGACAGTTTGAATCCATGAAATGTGTTTAATGTTTGAATAAACATGGTTAATTAAGTCTTGGATACTTGAGACAGAAACTCCTCAACCATTTGGGAGTGAAATATCTCCATTTTGGTCCATTTTGATGATTTAATTGCTAAGCTGCAACAACAAAGCAGCAAATCTTCCTGCTTCAAGGTCACCTGTCATTCTAACTCTCATGTTTGAGTCTTTGAACATGGCTCCAGATGTAAGAATACTTCAGGCAAGCTTTAATTTCATTAGCTGGAGTTCCTCTTGCAATTACTGGTAAAATCATCAGAGAGTAGCATAGTGATGCCTCCCATGATTTGTGAATTCTGTCTAATGTATTTTAGTGTTTTGTCCAGTGTCTCAAATGCTTGCTTGTGTGCCATGGCACATTCATCCCAGATAATGAAGCTTGTCCTCAAGTAGCTTAGCCAAGTTGGTTCCTATTTTGATGTTGCAAATAGGGGTTTAATTGTAGTTCAAATTCAAATGGAAGTTTGAAAATTGCCATTTGCTGTATGCCCTTCAGGTAAGAGGGTAGCAGCAATTTCAGATGATGCCACTGCCAGAGCTACTTTTCTTTAGACTCTCACTGCAGATAAAAGTAGGTTAGTTACAAAAGTTACCAGTTTTTCCAGGTGCATCCAAGAAGAAAATCCCTCCATTTTTGTTGCTGATGTCATAGAGGACCTTCTGATACACTTGCTGTTGGTCTTTGTTCAACAGGGGCTCATTGTTTTGAACACATTGCTACAATTCTTCCATGTTGTATTCTGTTACTCTAAAAATTTCTCTGTTAATTTGCCCAGTTTCTCTGTTTGGATTTGGCAAACCAAAATTGTTGAGATCTCTTTGAGTCAAGTTCATCACTTTGTCTTCAATTTCACAGAGAGCTAAATTTGAAATCTGAGGATTCAATTCCAATCCTGGATAAGCAAGTTTCATTTTAAGAAGATGAGATATTTAAAAGTTAGAGATTTGTGTACCTTTAATTGAAAAAGTGTGACACACAGACATTTTCACATTTATTATATAAATGAAGGAGATAATGAATGTTAGAGAGTTCTGTCCCTTTAATTGAAAAAGCGTGACACATACAGATATTCTCACATTTATTATATAGAAATATAGGGAACTAAAACTGAAAGAGAAAACACTAGCAGTAGAATGGAATATAATAAAAAAGATGTAGAAAATCAAAGGATGAAATTGTAATCTAGGCATAAAGGAGAAGCTGAAAAGCATAGAATTCAAGAAGGTGAATGGATTAATAGACAAAAGTTCGGTTGTTACTGGATAATGTCTCCATACCTCAAAGAGCTCCAAAATATATAAATTCGAGATACAAAGAGAAATAATGAGGATGTATGCAAATTAATATTTCCCATTTTATTAAGTTTATTAACATAAAGGATGTGATGGAACAATACATGAATATAGTACTTACAATGATAGAGTTTTCATGCTTAAAGAAAATAGCTACCTTTAAGGTAAGGTGAAGCTGCTGATCAATACTTTCAATTTTTTCTTCGTTATTGTATAGTTTTTCTTATTCACTGCTTCTTGATGTTGTTTGGGACATGTCTGACTTCTGCCATGTCTAAACTCTGACCTGTTCTCTAACATTCCAAGAACAATAACTGTGACAGCTGTGGGAATAGTTTCATATAAATCCTTACATGCATTTTGAAAGTTGCAATGAAACGTGTGAAGTGAAACAGTCTGTTAAGGGGTAAATAATCAAAAAATGTTACTTCTGTGTGTATTACAAAGTTCATTTAAAACTATTCAAAATTAAGCATTTTTGTATACATAAAAAAAGGAAGATTCAATCATATATCTATATTTCTCTCTCTCTCTCTCTCTCTCTCTATATATATATATATATATATATATATATATATATATAGGATAACGATATATATATATATCAAGAACAGTTTCAAGGAAAATTTATGACAAATTGGAACAAGTTCTAATGTGATGTGTTTCATCCCTTAGCACTTAATCGACTAGGTTTGCTAACATTGATATGATTACATATGTACATGAACAAAAGATGCTAGGAATTTTAAATTTAGAAAAAAAATTTCTTAATGTGATTTGGTTATATAATCTATCCAATTTCATTTAGATTCTTAAATGCCTTTAAAGATGTTTAAGCATGAAACAGATTGACACTGCTGCATGTTGGTGTGTGGGGAGGGGGGGCTGAACACTAAAAAATATTGAGAAATTAAAAATTTGAAATTTTCAGACACACTGGGTATTAATATATTTTGTTTTATTATTTGAATTAGATTCCTTGACTAGTTTCGGCCAGCATGGCAATCATCAAGAGAAAATACTTTCTGCTTGTTAGTAGCACTGAACTACAGGAAGGAATGACTTTCTGAAGAAAATAAACTTTATCTGTAGTTTTCATTTGTTTTGGGTTTTTTTTTTATATGTATATATTAGTATGGGTGTGTGTATAAGTGTGAGACCTCAACACCTCCACAAGCATGTCTGTTTTGTATGGATGAGAAATGTGAGTAGGGCTTGACTTATGGGGTTATATATTAATTCTATTGATGTTGTTAAATTTGTGATTAAGCCTGTCTGGATGGAGTGTTTTGAGGTGCAAAATCCATTTGTCTTCATGGTCTTCTAAATTTTTTCTCATGTTATCTTTTCTGTACTTTTCTATTTTTTCAATTATAGTGAATTTGGCATGGCTTTTAAAATCATGTTTTTCTAGGCAGAAATGTTGTTCTACAGGTAATAATCTTTCATGGGGATCCAACTTAATTCAATTACGATAATTATTAATTCTGTAGTTTTCACTAATAAGAATTAATAATTTTTCAAGCCATTCAGATTTTCTCACATATTGTTTCTGGCATAGTGTGCATTCTAGGAGGTAAATTATGTTATGACTTCTAGAGTTAGAGTGGTGGTAGATTTTGAAAGCAGATTTAGTGACTGAGCTAGTGAATGAATTGATGTGTCTAATGTGGTTACAGCATAAGCTCCTTTTGTTGTTACATGGTTGGGAAAATCTTGTTTTTATTTTTGGTTTATTATGGATTACCTTATCCTCTGAAATGTGGTTACTACCTATAATTTTCTTAAGGTTCTTTGGTCGACGATATGCTAGATGGCCAGGTTCCTCAAACAAAATTTTTAGGTCTAGTTTGAGATGTAGTATTTCCCAGTGACTTTTGATTACATGGGATAGTGGGGGAAGAGTGGGGTTGAAAGATGCATCTGGATTTATTTTTAATCTTGTACAATAGGGTGTCTTCTATAGATGTTCAAATTGCTTTATTTATTTATTCCCTGATTAGGTGTTGTTTATAGCCATGTGTTGTGAATTGATGCTCGAGATTTTGAGTGTGTTTATTTAGTTCTTCATTGTTGGTACATATCCTTCCGAGTCTAAGTGAATGTTCTCCTTGAGGTGTTTAAAGTGAGAAGACTTAAAGTGTAGATAGTTACATATTATATATATATATATATATATATATATATATATATATATATTGCCACAGTCATGGGCTCAGTGCTAAACATCAAGAATGCATTTCCCTGTGTCAGGGACACAAAAAACAAAGACCCTGATCTTCCATATATAAGTTTCTGCATGGCATTTATCCATAATACCACATTCTTCTTTGCCCTGTATCATCTTCAGCATGATTAGTTGGTGATCTTCAATTGAATTTTAGAGAGGATTGACAATATCCTCACCAAATTTCCCTCAGCCAAGTTTCACATATGAGGTGACTTCAATGTTCACCACAAAGAGTGGTTATTCCACTCTAACAAAACTGATGAGAAAGGCAGATAGTGCAGAGACTCTTCTCCATTGCACATGAACTACCCAGATCATTTCAATAAACAACCCACCCAAGTCCCAGATGCAACGAGTCAGCAAATGAACCTCCTTGACCTTTTTCTAACATCCTGCCCTGACAAATGCTCAGCAAAAGTTTTAGCCCCCATTGGCATGTCAGATCATTCCTTAGTCAATGTCCAGATTGACTCCAAACCAATGACATCCTCTGTTTCACTGTTCCATAGAACTGTTTTTCGCTATGTGGATGCAGACTGAGACAATATTTGATCCTATATGACAGGAGCTCTTCTCCCAAGGTTCTTCAAACATAATGCCACCAAAACCGCTTTCCTAATCTCCAAATGGATTTTTTTTCTGGAATGGAACAGTGTAGTCTGATCCTTAGTTCTTTCAGCAATGCCCCCAATCACTGTAATAGAGTCCTGGAAAATGCAAAGTGCAGCTACATGCTATCTGTCGAGGCCAAGGTTGAAAATAAACAAATTAGATCTTGCAAATTCTGGAAGATCACAAAGTAAATTATAAATAGGGGTAAAGCATCTATGCCCACTATTATAAATGGCCCTGAGGTTATATCATCCTTGACAGACAAGTCAAAGCTCTTTGCCTCAAATGCAATGTTAGATGACAAAAGCCATCCCCTCCCCAACTTCCCATGTCTTAATGAGCACAACCTCAGTAATATACTCCTTTCAGTAAGAGAAGTCTCAAAATCCTCAAATGCATAAAAGCTACTGGCCCAGACAAAATTCCAGTGGTTATCCTTAAGAATATCAGCCCAGAATTATCCCCAATTCTAGTTATTTAGCCGCTGTTTGAAGGAGAAATCTTTCCCAAGCATGTCGAAGGTGGCAAATGTATGCCCAGTCTTCAAGGACATGAGAAATTGATCCTCACCCTCCCAGTATAGACCCATTATCCTCCTCAGTATCATCAGTAAGCTCTTTGAGGCCTTAATCAACAAGAAGTTCATCGAGCACCTGGATAGGAACAACATCTTGTGCAACAAGCAATCCATTGCTACCATTACACACAGAATTAGTGAAGCCCTTGAAGACACACATAAAGAAAGGACCATAACATTGGATATCTTGAAGGCCTTCAACAATGAGTGGGACAAAGGTTTCCTACACAAGCTCTCCAGTTTTGGAATCACTGGAAGGCTTTTCTCTATTATAAAATCCTTCCTAACAGGTAGAACCCTGAAGATAGTTATAACTGTGGCTAAAAGAAGGCAACAAGATGGTGGTAGTGTTATGATATGGGCTGAAATTGTCAACCAAACCATTATTAGACCATTCAATGTCAATAAAGCAGTTGAACTTAACAGTGCTATAATTTTATGAACAAGACTTTCTTTGCATGGTACAAGTCCTAGTCTCACAGTTTCAAAATGAAGTGTGTATTTATGCATAACATTCTTTCTCATGTATCAAAACTTACCCATGAATTATTTGATCATAAAAGATTTATGCGAGAGAAGATAATGGAATGGCCACCACCAAATCATGATCTGAATTCAATCAAAAATCTATGAGCAAAAAATATAACAGCAAAACAGACCTATGGAAAGTAATTAAAACTACCATGTCAGAAATTGAACCTGTTGAAATAAAAAAAATTAACAAAATCCATATATAATAGATTACTGGCTGTTATTAAGAAAAGTCACTATATTAAAATGTAAAAGATTCAAAGACTTATCATATGTGTTGTTCTATTATAGGTGTTGATCAATTTTTGATGATTTTATTACCATTTTATTGAAGTAAAATGTGATTATTTGGTTTTGCCTAATAATTTCAGATGGCATTTTTTAAAATACATCAAATAACTTCAATAAGATATATTGATAGTACCTAAAATTTAACTCAGGCTTTGTTTTGACATCTAAATTGATATATATATATATATGTGTGTGTGTGTGTGTGTTTAATTAATAATATAATAATTATAAATAATTAAAACAGATAAAAGAATATGTGACTTACTTGACAATTACTTATATTTGACTTCAAACAAATTATCTTCCACCAACAAAAATACACCCTTGTTAAAACTGATGCAAGAACTAAAGAATGAAAAGTAAAAGTTGTAATTGTAAATAAATTTTCAATAATTCTTATCAAATGATATAAACCCTTCATCTTTGAAGATAGTGTGTAGTGAAATGGATATTTATTATTGAAAAAGAAATTATCAATCAGTAGTTAGAGAAAGGAAGTCGTGCTGAGAATATATACATATGCATGTGTAGGTAAATTGCAATATAACAGTATGAGGTAATGTATGTGTGTATGGGTGTGTGTGTAACATCATTAGAGAAATGAACAATAAACTCAACGCTGATAAAACTGATGACCATCATTCATTGTGTCTGAAGAAATGAAAAATGTAAAGTTAAATGCCATTTTTGCATCTGCTATATTTTAAAAAGAATTCTATTTATGTTTTTGCAACTAGTAAATTATTTCTGCATAAGATCAAATAGGAAATAATTCCACAATTCTAAATAACCTCCCTCATGTATATAAGATTAAAAATAATTATGTATGATGTCTGGAAGTGCCTTAATATTTATGACATTGGTAACTGAAAGAAAGAAAAGTGAAGACAATCAATAAAGAGTATCAGTTCAAGTCAATAAGTATTTATCAATTTCTACCAGTTTACTTTTAGTTTTTCTTTTACATCGGCACTTTCTTTTGTTTAATAAATTTTCATAAAATAATTTTAAAAAATCTAACTTAATGCAGTTAATTATATTTTATGAAATAAATTGTTTAAAAATAAAGAATAAATGCAATGGAATAAATATATTACTTCATTTTATTATCTAAAAAAATATTTTTATACTCCTATGAATATAAAAAATACTCTAGTACTAAGTTTCATAAAGAAATAATTTTGTTTATAGAATAAAAAATATATTCCTATTTTACTGGTTAAAAATTTAAGGTTAAAAATGATTATTCAAATTGAAGAGTCACAGCCACTAATCAGTCAGTTCCCCAAAAAGTAAAGACAGTTACTTTCATTGAGGGGGGGGGGTCTTGCAAGATGGAACCAGAAACAACATCTTAAACAACAAAAAAAAGTTAAAATCTCTACTCCTGTTCAGTATACTTGAAAGCAGTGTGAACCAGGACATAAGTGAACCAATCTACTTCTATTAGCCTGTTTACAGTATGGGAGGCTGGGAAATTTTATCAAGATACAATCTGTAGAAAGTTTGCTAAACAAGGCTCTAGACCAATTCCAGACCAAAAAAGAATTACTAAATTATTAAAACCTCTCTGAATATTACCACAGGAGTTACAATCTAAGGAATATTAACATAAAAGTAGATCATAAAATTAGATTTGAATTTGGATTTTCTTCAAATTAATGAAATCAATAAAGTAAGCAATTTCTTTATTTCAGTTACATTCATCTATTTTCTGTTTGACTGAAATTTAATACCAACCCAAATGTTAACCAGGCAAACAAATGTCAGCAACAAAGATGACAGTGACCAAAATTATTTTAACCATAACAATATATAATTAGTCAAGATTTTTTATAACTATTTTTTTAGTAAAACAGGATAAGAAATTCAAATCTTGACATAATATAACTTGTTGAAAATAAAAATGAACAGGTCAAGAAATTGATCATTATATATCTGTGTTAATTGTTATTTATTTTAAATTGTATTTTCTTGCTAGAAACCTATCCTTAAATCAGTGTTCTGAATTTGATGATATTCAAGCCAGTCCTGGAATTCTTGAAATGGATCTCACAAGACTAGATGAAAACTATTCACATTTCCCTGCATTAATTTATTCACCAGATGGTAAGAATTTTTCTATTTTCTTTACAATCATTTAGAAAATGCAACCTTCATTAATTTGTGGTCATTTAATCATTTCCTTTTAAATTGTTTTACTGTCAGTTATCTTAAAGTATTATAAATTTCTATGATTTAACAATGCTGTGTGATGAGAAATAGCATTCAAAGGTAAAAATTGTGTTAATACAAGCAGAAGTACAGATAATAGTTAAACAATATACAAGTGATACTTGGTCATGAGTTTATATAGGACTGAAAAACTGAATTTAAGACTGTTTTCAAATGAATATGTTTCTTAATATATTCACTCTTATAAAAAAAAAAAACATTATCCCTGATTTGTTCTCAGTTAGGTTACTAAAATGAATCATAAATGAAATTTTCAATTTTGAGATGAAAAACAAATGTAATTCAGAGACATGGGAACACCAAATCCAATAAAAACAATAATTTTCAATATTGTTTTTAAGTCAGCAGTTTTCTTTCACTTTAACTCCTTCAATAAAGTTATTAGGAATTTTCATAAACTATTTGTTATGGCTAATGCTGGGACTTCTGGTTTACACATGAATACCAGAAGGTGCTGAGAAGTTCCTATTCTGAAACATTTCGCAAATTCTAACAAATAATATGTAAACAAATGCAATCAGCAAAAAAATATTCTACTAAAAGGAGACTATTTTAGTAAGTAAAAGAGTAAGATACTGAAGGCTTTGAGATCCAGATCAACCCTCTAATCTAAGTGAGAAAAGCACATTTGATATTTATTAAGAGACAAAAGCAAAACTGCCATAATCATAGAATCTAATCACACCAACAGACCACAGGGTGAAGAGAAAAGTAAAAAATAAACAAAATATAAAGATAAAGTTTAAGAACTAAGAAAACTGTGAAACATGACGATGAGGATTGTTGAGAACACATGGCCCAGTGGATAAAGGCCTTGATTAGATCCAGTGACTAGAGTTATGAGTTCAATACCAGGCCACAGTAGTGAGGAACCGAAACTTGGAGAGTTGAGTTAAAGGGAAATCTGAGAGATCTGTATGGCACGTGGAACTAGAACATTCTACCCTAGTGGACAAAATAAAGGGTTTGGTTCAAAATTCAAATCATCTGAATTAGGTCAGAGTGTACAACAGCTGAAACATTGTGAATATGGCAATGAAGAGCCTGAGTAATGTAAATAGTGCAAGTAATCATAATACTTCATCTCAGAGATATAGACAGATATTGTAACCTTTTTATTAAAAACTGTGAGGTTTGTTGAAGGGCTTTTTGGTCAGTCTGAGAACCTTTCAGCAACCCCCCCCCCCGATATATGTAAATTTTTATATGTGCTTTTGAAATAAATGAGAATCTCAGAGATATTGAATTCTAAAGGGTTGCTTGGAACAAAGCGATAACAAATTTTTTAGCTAATGAGTTTAAGGCTGAAAAACATTTGATTCTATTTGCTATTGCAGGACTGGAAAGATCAAGTAGTTTGAGAGTTTTGAAATTTTTTAAAATGTAGAATACTGAAGGTTAATGTGTGTGTGTGTGTGTGTGTGTGTGTGTGTGTGTGTATACACTCACTCACAAAGACATTTGGCTTAGAGAGGTTATATATATATATATATATATATATATATATATATAGTTTGATTAAATAATGTAGAAATAATTTCCTTCTATTTTTAGAAGAATAAGAAATCAATATACATAATCAATTGTAATCATTACACATTTCTCAGTAAGTTGGTTTTAATATATTAAAATTGTAATATTGTATTTAAATTTGAATATTTTTAATATTTAATTCACAAGTGAATATACTGGGAAGAAATTTTTATTTAAGCTGTTAGTAATAATGAATTTCTATGCATAGAATCTACAGAGTGCAATAGAGAAATTGCTGTCTAAGTTATGCAAAATGAAAATAACACTGACATCTCATTTTAACAGATCTATTTACCAAAATTGCACAAAAATATTTTGAAATACTAAAGATTAAATTTATTCAATAAAACCAGCATTGGCTTCAACCACAGCCTTCAGATGACTTCAGAATCTCCTGCATTTCTTCTGGACAGTCTCCTTGTTTAAGTTAGTGAATGCTGCCATAATACTTGTCTTCAGTTTCATCATTGGTGTTAGAAGGAGTTTTGTTGGTCTTTCACTGAACTGTACACCCACACATAATAATCAAGGAGGTTGCAATCTGGGGAGTTTAGTGTCCATATATAAAGGGTGATGTGGTTGCAGAAATTGTCTGACAATCATGACTGGGTTCTCCTGCATGTACAGAGTTCTGTTGCCTAGCATAGGATCTTCCAGCATCAACCCTCTTGACTCAGGGCAGCACTACCTCCAAAAGGCACTTGATGCATGTCTCTGTGTTGAGTTTGAAGCCCTCACCAACAATTTCAGGAGTTCAGAGTAAGTTTTCTGAGTTGCTGTATCTTCATAATCACCATCAAACTCATCCAACTCTTTCTGAATCCTCTACACTGGCCTCAGATTGACACCCAAACATTCTGAAATGTTTTTTATTTGAGCATGCCATTTCCATTTCTGGTGGAGTGAATTGCATCATGGGGCTCTTTTTCTCACAGATCATACCCAACTGACCCTACTATAATGTGCAGTCAACAAAATCAAAAATAAACAACATGCATGCATGAAATTAAAAATATAAAATGGCAAAACTTTACACATTGCACCCTGTATATTGTATTGGCTGCAATGGCATAAATCACTAATTGAAACTATTTTTTCCAGATATAGATAACATCTATAAAACAGTATTCCTGATGCAAGAAGATCCAATGGTAACAGCAATTTTACTCTTCCTTTGTTAAAGAGAAATCAAACTTTTACACCTTTTTCATTTACCTGTTTGAAATAAATTATGATTCAATTAATTAAAACCAACGAGACACTAAAATTATCCTAAAATTTAATCTTTGCTTAAAAATGTTTGAGAAGTTCTTTAAAGATTAGTTTACTGCCTCTTACTTTCCTGCTTGTTGGAAATCTTCCGCTGTAGTTTCAGTTTTTAAGAACTCAGGTGAACCATCTGACCCTTAAAGCTATCAGCATTCTATCTCTTTAAGGAAAACTACTAGAGGACATAATCAACTCTGAATTGGTTAAGCATCTTACATTGCAGAGCCTTCTTTTAGACAAGCAATATGGCTTTCACTTATCTAGATCAACTGCTGATGTACTAATGATTATTTCTGAAAGAGTCTATCACACTTTATACAGGACTATTGAAGCTGGGTCTATTGCTTTGGACATCTTGAAAGCATTTGACAGGGTTTGGCATACTTCTTTACATAGAAGAATCAGCAATATTATTGGTCCTGACATGACATCTTGGTTTCAGTTACTTCCCCACCACTGTAATGTAGCTCAACTGTGCCTTTTCTATAAATACTTTCATGGTAATGGTTCTGGTGAACTTTCCTCTATTAGTACCTAGACTTTATGAATTTAATTGCAGTACTAGAATGACGACAAGGTCTGATCATTTTAATGTTGAAATTGCTAGATGTAGCTATAAGTTATTTCCTAGCAGTTTCTTCTCTTACACTTCTTACTTATGGAACTCTCTTCCACCTCCATGCTTTCCAGCCAACTTTGATCTTTGAAAATTTAAGTGCAATGTCAATCGTTCTCTTCTGTATTTTTCAGTACTTTTCTATTGTTCTTGCTCCTTTCACTTTTTTCTAATTCTTTCACTCTCAGTAATCCCTTGCTTTACTACCATGCATGGTGTCATATGATTAAAAAAATAGATTATGTTTTTGACTAATGAACAAAACAGTAAGAATTTTGATTTAAACAAAGAATGAGTCAACAGAATCATTTTTGCCTGTTGGACCAACTCATAAATTTTTGTTTTGTTTTTATGGATTTTTGCAAGAAGTATTTTTATGTCTTGAAGTTGTTAATTTTCATTTATATAATTATAAAATGATAAGAGATTGAGAAGATTTTTATATCATACATTCAAACTCAAAATACAAAAATTGTAAAAATGTTACAAATGATGTTTTTTCAAGATACAAATTTTCAGATCTTTGACCCTGTTAGAAATGCTACAAATGAAAAATGCTTGATTTGATATTTAATCTTTTATAACTATTATTATTATTTAATTTTGTACTTTAGGTTTTATTTTACACTGAATATATTTTACTTTGATAATATGCATATTTCTGTTTAATGTTGGAGTAAATCCATAATCTCAGCATATAATTAACTTGCATAAAATTATATGTTCATTCAATCATTCGCAAGTTAAAGAATCACAATTAGAGCCTAGGTGTGTAAGCATGGAAAGTGTTTTCAAACATGAAACCCATCTTTATTTTTCAGTTATTATCTCCATAATTACATATTTCTTCATGCTTGCATGTCATTAAATACAAGTTAATATTTATATAAAAATGAAATAGTCTGCTAATGGTGCCATGATTCTTGTATTTCTTGGAGTTCAGTTAATAATTTTTATTTCAATTTTATAATTATTTTACAAATTCAACTTTTCATGCAAACAGTTTGGTTTCCATTTTCCTATTTATGATCACTTAATTGATTTTTCCTCACATTTATTCTTTATATTACTTCCTGCTAAAGAGATTTGTTAAATTCATTCTTTGCAAGATTTCGCTTGTTTTACTGTTGTATTAACAATGTTACTTTTTTATTTCTGACCAAGCAGCATTGATATCTACATTGAAAAACTTTCATTTCAAACAAGAGTTATAAGATATTTTTATTTAGTCATATTCTACATGGACATTCATTTTATAATTGCATTTTAAATTATAATTCCACTGTTAAAAAGAGATTTTTAAAAATGTTTTCCTATATTTTTCTATGCTTCTCCTAGAAATCCATATTCTATTAGTAAAATTTTAATTGGCAGAAAATATATTTTTGGGATTTATAATTAACTCTTTATTAATTTGCATATAATTTGCTTTGTTCAAAAGCTAGTTGCAAAACCTATATAAAAAGATTTTACATGAATGCCTGTTTTTAATATCTGTCTGTATAACTTTTATTATATTTTTCCGATCAGATGTTGTCCAAAATTTTGGATAAACTCTTCAAAGTTCATGTTTTGTTTTGTTTGCTCAAGTTTTTTTGCCTGCCTCAGTCATTATCAAGAACTGGTTGTTGCGAGTGTGATAGACAAGTTTTTGTTGACTACATTTTAGCATTTTTTACAATGATGGAATTTGAATTTGTCCAAAATGACATCATAAGTAGCCATATGTTAAATTGTACAAGACCACCCCAGAAAAGCATGTATCAAATACTTATATACATTTTATTATTTTATATGCATAATAAATATTTTGTAGGCTCTTCAAGATACTGCCAATTGAGCTGAAAGTTGTAGATTTTTTCTTTTGTATAATAATGGCTTCCCTTGTAGTTTGTGTTGTATAGTATTTTTCTATTATCCACTAATATTTGTCTTATGCTGATAGTTGTATTTTAGGTGTTTGTAATATGATAATAGCATGAATTGCACTAAGTTTGACAAGTGACAAGTCAATTTATGGGTGAGTATGGTGTATGTGTGGCCAATGATTTTAATGTTTTTTTTATTATTGATATTGGAGATGCAGTTCATAAACATGTTTTTACATTGAGGTCATTTTTGAGGTGCCAAGTTATTGGTAATAATTAGATTAGATGTTATCAACTATTTGTTGGAATCATTAAACACACACACACACACATATTTAAACATTTCACCTAAAGCAAGGCAATAAACCCCACTAAGATGCAAGAAGTTATTGAGAGTGAAAGAAACAGAGAAGACACAGAAAAAACAAATTTCAAGGAGACATTGCATTTGAAGATCATAGTTGACAAGAAAGCAGGAATTCAGAAGAGAGTTCCACAACAAAGAAGTGTGAGAGTTTAGAACTTACTGTACAACTAGCAATTTCCACAGTGAAATTATGAGACTTAGCTGAGCTTAACAAGGAAAGCTCATGACTGATAACATTGCAAATTCTTCTTTGGATTCTGTCAAGAATCTCTAGACACATAGCATAAACACCAAACAAGATATGGTGACAATATCTGATGCACAAATGACTTATAAATGTGTGAGATTTTCTAACATGTGATCTGACTTCCCTAGCAGCAGACTTAGCAATTGATCTAATATAATCATTCCACTTCATGACAGTAGAAAACAATAGACCAGTGAGTTGCTTTCCTGCCTTTCATTTTAGAGGTATTAAAATTAACAAACTACTTATTGCTCCAGTTTGCAACAGATTGTAGATAATTTTTAAGATCAATTACCAACTCGATTTTATCAAACCTATCAGCCTTACTTACAAGAGTAAATAATTGTGTCATCCACATAGATACTAAGTCAGAAACTGATGACATTGGAATGATTATTGATGAAAATATAATCACATTAAAGCAAATGACCTAGAGGCGTGACTGTTCCAGACAACTTGTATTATGCACTTTTGAATCAAATCAAGGAAATTGGCAGAAACACCTTAACCATTCAATGCATGAAAACCAGAATGCCAAACGCCTGTCAAATACTTTTGAAATATTTTAAACAACAGCCCCAGCTTCACTATTCTTATCTAAAACTTGACAGACTCTTTCAGCAAAATGACCATCAACACATCAGTGGTTGACCTAGAAAATCAAAAGCCATTTTATTTCTCTAAAAGAAGACCCTGAGATATTGAACCAATTCTGAATTTATTAGAGCCTCTAGTACCTTATCAAAAAGAGATAGAAGGTTAACAGGCTGATAGTTTGAAGGATCAGATGGTTTGCTAGGAACCACAATAAAGGAATTCCAACAATCTGGAAAGCAAGAAGCATCAAGGCATCTATTGTAAAGCTTGGAAAGAACAAAGGCCAGTTCAGTGGCACAATTGTTAACAATAATTGCAGGTATGCCATAGTCTATATGCTTTGTAGGGATCAAGTTTCAAGATGATAGTGGAAACCATGGACAGAATTATATGCACATCATGCAGTAGAGACTTATATCTAAGTCAAGAAAAGTTACTCCTGATTAGTCCGGGAAGTCACAAGAATCAACATTGTGAGAAATTATACAGTACCTCCCTTTATCAGCAAATAACAACTTAGCCTTTTGCACTTATTACAAGTAAACACAAAGAGGTTCCTGTTGTGATCAGAGCTCTCACATTGCTACAGCTGCAAAAAGTGATTCCTGTTGGCTGTGGTGGTTGAACAGGCAAGTATGAACCAGAGAGAGGATTAGAGGAATATGTACGTGTAACCTCACAATGTATAGTAATGTTAATTACAATTTCTTTAGACTGTATTTTTAGAACTCCATCATTCATAATTTCAAATAAAGAATAAATGAAACAGTATTTTTAGTACTAATTTATGATGGAAATCTTTTGAACTACCAATGCCAAAAGTCAAGTATGTGAATACAATACAGATGACCTGGATGCATTGATCACCCTGCATTCGATGATACATAATGCAGCCATACCAGCAAAGTGGAAAAAGGCAAACAACCCACCACAACATCTGCTGATACCAGAGAAGACTAAATCTACTTTCATTCCAGAAGAGAAGATTATAAGGAGGCAACAAAGATTGTTGACAAAGAACTAATTGTTCAGTTACTGAGGTGTTGTGATGACTCATTGCATAAGGATATTGCATGATCATAGGGCAGTTCACTGACTGAGAAATCAAAGGCTGAACTACTTGCAGCAATTCGTCAGTAGCTGTAAGAGAAGAGAATACAATGTGTGATGCTAAATAACATTATTGG